GTACAATCTAACCCCCACTGTCCGGCAGTGTTATTATGAAAGAAAACTGCTTTTTATTACCCTTCAATTAAAGCAGGTTTAGTCCGGGAGTTAGAAGGTGTTAGCTCTATTGCAGCTCCAGTGACCCATTTCAGAATGCCTGGTAATTCACGACCACTCCGAGGTCACTTTTACTTACAATAAGCCCCGCATGTTCACTCTACCTTTATCAAATGGATAATGGTATCATAAACACACTTCCAGATTAAAAAAATATTATTTCCAAATCTGGCACGTATATAGTTTTGAAATTTGTTCAACTGTATTAAATCGATTTGAATGGACATTTCTTACCAATTTTGTTTCGAATACCTCTTGATTCATCTGCTGGCAGCACTTACTGGCCCTTACCGGCGACCAACTCGTCTGCCCGCAAAAGCAACAACGCCTAAATCTCAAAGCTCTCCGGACGTCCCCTCGAAAATGCAATCGAGATATGTATAAGAACAATCTTCAACTGGAACGTACTCGCCAAATCAATACATCCGGGAGCACATTCCCGATGCTTATTATGCCCGTCGTCGTCGAACGGCAAAAAAAAGGAACTCGGTGAGCAATTTTGTGATACGGAATTTTCACTGAACATAAACCGCGAATTTACGAATTTCACCACTCCCAACTGCGAAACACGTTTAGAAGCACTTTTGGTACACTTTCGATCAATTTCTTTTGAAAACACAAAAAAAGTTGCAAGCAGCGAGCCAACATCAACACCGATTGTGCCGAACTCTTTCACGCACCTTGCAGCGCGTAAATAAACTGAAATTAAAAATTATAACTCGCGATGCCACTAATTTCTGGTCCGGGAGAAAATCAAATAACGCAGATTGCGACATCTCTTCTGATGCTTGCAAACATCTTGGACAATTTTTGATTAATGATTATCTTAAATAAATGAAAGTAAATTTGGATGGATGTTTTTGTATCACATACAATGATAGAAGAGCAATAGTTTGTAGCGCTTAACTCGATTTGTTTACATTTGTTACATTGGTCTATTTGAAAAGTGACGCGAGATTTGTCACTATATGATGAATCCTGCCAAATTGTCCCGCGTTGTTCGTAGCGTCCGTCTGCTTTAAAATTTGTCAACAGAATCACATGAATGAGCGTTATGAATCTGATAGTACATCTCATTCCGCACTCTTCTATCCCATAGCGTCATGTTATACCCCGGACAGACTATAAAACGCTGTCCAGACTGGAGAGTTATAACATGTTATAACGGTTGTCAAATAATTGCAACACAGAAACCACCCTCAAGATCTTCGTGTATGCAGACGATATCGTCTTGGTGGCGGTCGGATCCACAGTGAAGGCCCTTCGCAGAAAACTCAACGCGGCCACGAATGCAGTTCTACGCTGGACTAAATCCGTCGGATTCCACCTATCGGTGGAGAAATGCGCATATACCGAGGGGGACGACTCTATCTACGCTGCAGGAAAGATTGTGTTGTGCTGTGGCTAGCTGCTCGCACGCTGAGTAGATAGAAAGAAGATTGAAGACGATTTTGACGATTTCCTGCAAAAAGATGATGCTCGATGCAAGCAGATGCGAGAAATGCAAGAAGATTTTTCGAAGATTGATTCGCTAGCGTGAGATTTTTTGAGCATCTAAAATTGAGATTTAGATGTGTCGCCCCCCTCGGCATATACCCACATTTGTCCGTTCAATCACCAGGTGCTCCGCTCTCCTATCAGCGTCGACGGAAGGATCATGCCGTTTAAGAAGTCTATCCGCGTCCTCGGCATACGCCTGGATCGGCATTTAAACTTTGGAGACCATTTCAACGAAGTGAAAGGGAATTGCCAAACAAGAATCGGCTTGCTGCGGACATTAGCCAGGAGGCATCTAGCGAACAACCGTGCTGTCCGGATGCGCGTGGCTAAAGCGGTAGTCGATTCAAGATTAACATACGGTATAGAACTGACCTGCCTAGCTGCCGACAGGATGATTTCCCAACTGTCCCCGGTATATTATCAGGCCATTCGAATCACATCAGGTCTAGGTCTCCTCCCCTCCACCCCCAGGCTTGCAGCTTGTGTGGAGAGTGGAAGGTTACCCTTCGACAAATTTAACACTGAATTTATCGTTGCTACCGTTTGCAAGAGGGCAGTTGGCTTCGCAGAGAAGACAACTGGAACAAGTGATGGAGTGTCCCTCCTTATGGAGGCGAACAAACTCCTGAAGGACGCCGCCGACCTGGAACTCCCCCCGGTAGCCAGGGTCCACTGGTGTGGAGCCAGGGGTTGGAACTCACCCGGACTTTCTATCGACTTGGCGATAAAGAACAGATTCCGGGCGGGAACCAACTCCCCCGCACTAGTGGGATCGGTGGCCGAACTACAACGAACCAAGTACCCAAATCACCTAGCAAGATACACTGACGGATCTCGAACAGGCGGAAGGGTAGGCATTGGGATATCCGATCCGGAGCTACGCACCTTCTACCGACTTCCGGACCCTTGCAGCGTTTTCTCTGCTGAAGCTGCCGCCATACTAGTAGCCGCCACCTCGCCTACCAACAAACCTGTCGCCATATTTTCTGATTCAGCCAGCGTACTAACAGCTCTTCAAGCACCCTTGGATCCAGGCTATTCAGAAGCTCGCTCATAAAGGAACAACTTTCATCTGGATCCCAGGACACTGCGTGATCAGAGGAAATGAGGTAGCGGATCATCTGGCGGCATCCGGAAGACAGGCAAACCTCTATACCCAAAAGGTCCCTGCTCAAGACATCAAGCGGTGGATCGTGACTACAGTATGGAATTGCTGGACAAATGAATGGCTGCGATCTCAAGATCTGTTTATCCGGAAAATTAAAGGGGATACCACAAGATGGGATGATCCGCCTGAACACCGATCTCAAGTAATTTTATCGCGGCTGAGAACCGGTCATACCAAAGCCTCTCATAACATGGGAGGCGGAGGTCCTTTTAGGAAGCAATGCGAGACTTGTGCCCCCAGTACTATGGACCACGCATCAAATACGGGATCTCAGCAAGCGTCAGGGACACCCTGAGATATGACCCCTCTAGCACCACAGCGCTCTTCTCATTTCTGCGGGAGACAGGATTGATCAACCAAATTTGATATATGACCCAATATTGACCCAGGCAACGACAACGGACAAAGGATTGAACTACTATTGGCAAAAACCACTGACTCAAAACGGACGAGCGACTATATTAAGATGATGCACGAAAATGGACGGATGATGGCACAGAATTACGCACAGCGACAACAATGGAACTGAACACGGAAAACTACTACACATAAAAGCAAAATCACCACAATAATCGGACACAAGACCACGCGACGACAATGGATTATGACAAGGACCAACTACTAGACACACCGCAAGTTACCTGAATATCTGCCAACAAAACCAACTCCGTTATTATAACTCTGTCCAACACAATTGTACCCTTTACAGTCAGGGGCCGCTCTCCGAAGCCCTCTATCCCTTTTAAGTGACGAACCAGCCTGTGGCTGAAAGTCACTCTAATAAAGAAAAAAAAAACCCTTAAGATAGCGCTATAACATGTTATAACTCTGTAGTCTGAACTAAAGAGGCTGAATTTATAAAGAGACGAACGTACTATATGACTTATATCATGTAATATAGGCTGTTTTGCAATGAACACTCATACATCTAGTTTTCACTGGAAATCCAATGTATGAGTGCTCATTGCAAGACAGCCTATATTACATGATAAAAGCCATAGTCTGTCCAGGGTATTAAGCATAAGTCCTATCTCCCTCACTTCGAGTCCTGGAATCGCATGAATCGTGAGCTTTCCGAAGTTCATGTTTTATCCAAGGTGAGTTTATCTGTCATTTTTCTATTTTATATGAATGTCGACTTCCAGTGCTGCCAAATGCACTTTGCCGACTTAAAACTAAATAAAGGTAAATTTATTATTAATTGATCACTACTTTATCATATATACTACATTCACCAGTGCCAAGTAGTGTAGTTGAGTACTTGGCACTGGTGAAGTCTGCAAATAATAGACGAAATACGCGTATCTGTCAACAGATAAGCAATTATAACGGAATTAAAAGGAAATAAACCAACACTCTCAAAGCTCGTCATAGTTTGTTATCGTTTGTTTTGTCGAGTCGAGTGTTTTGCATTAAATGAAATGGGACTTTTTCGGACCTTGGAAAACCAATCTCAATCAACTTTCATTTCCGGTATCATAATTAACTTATATAGTTTATTAATCAACTTATGCATGTACAGTTCATTTTTTTTTGCATTTCTTTCTTTCGTTTAGTATTCTTTTCTTTGAATCTGATCTTTTACTCAGTTGAGTTTATCGTTTTTTGATAAAGATACAATATTTGATGTATTAATTAAGGGTTTTGCAGATTGTATTTACATTGTAAACTATCAGCAGTTCCATTCCAAACGACATCCCACGCATTTTCGCTCCTGCCGTGCCCGATCTGTGCCTCTAGTTGTAAAACTTTACCTAGTTAAATATGCTCATCATCATTCGCCACTTTCATTTCATCATACATACATATTCCGCACTAAATCTAGAGACTGCACTCTGCTAGAGTAGGGGATATATAATTATGCTTATCTGTTTGTTTTATGCTTCATAACTTCATGGGTAATTTCCTCGACATTACAGTTGATTGATGTGTCGTCGTGTGACTCAAAGTATAGTACTAACCTTAGGTAGGCATATAAAATTACGCATATTTCAGTTAATCAATGTTTCACTTCTCTCGTTCGCTATCCATACACAACAGGGTGCGGCATAAGTTATTCACGAGGATTGTTGTATCAGTTTTGTTTAGGGCAAAATAAAGGAACTTGTACACTGAAGGAAGGTAGTGGCAATCGGGGGGATCAAACGACTGTTTAGGATAGATAAATTTTGACTATTCTCCTAACGTGTTGATGATCGATAGCAATCTGTTTTTCAGTTATTACACAGGTAGGTAATTGCATGTATAAATGTATTTGTTTTTTTTTTTTTATTTCATGTCTCTTTCATCGTCGGTTAGAGAACTTCTATTCAGGAGGTATATTTTCATAAACTGTTCTTATACCTGCTTCGCTGCAGTTGCATTTGCTGCACTATTTACAACACCATTTCCGCCTTTTGCCAACGCTATCGATCCAACTGTTTTGTTGTCTTCTTCATATTTATTTGTTTTGTAAATCCTATGAATTAAGATAACTACTACCACTAATAAAAGTGCAATTATAAAGAGCTACAAGATTTCTAGTAAACTATTTACACAAATTTACCTCAGGCTTTTCGGTTAACACAAACGGGTTCGCTCGCTTAAAAATGCTTCATCTGGTGGATTTCTTGGGTAAAACGCGGGGTTGGGACAATTTTTCAAAATCCTCCATAAACACATACAGCTTCGATTGCGTTAATTCGCATTTTCAAAAGGAATTGTATACTCTTCCTTAATTTTACATATTTATACAACAAATAATAATGAAAATAATGGAAGGATGAGAAGAAGAGACGGGAGGAGGATTGGAAGAAAGTGCATTGCCACTATTACGACCAAGATTAAAATTTGTCACGCTGATGATGGTGATGAGACTTATTATAAAATCCATTGCGTCCGTGACGTCCATTGCGAAACCCGTTGTGATTCCGGGGATGGTTCCCATTGTGGTAGTAGTTGTTTCCTCCCCGATTCTGGTACTGATATTTGCCTCCGAATCCGCTGTTGTTGTTGTTATTATTATTATTATTGTTGTTGCTGTTCCACTTGTTGCGGTTGTTGTTGTTGTTGCTGATTCCACCGCTGCTGACTCCATTCATCATCTGGTGGTTCTGATAGCTCTGGAATGGATTCTGCTGTTGCTGCTGCATTCCGTTTCGCTGCTGATCGCGACCATGTTGGAAGTGTGTCTTCATCTTCTTCGTCCGACCTCGATCCATTTCGGTGTCGTGATCGTCTTCCAACTGACGCTTCCTGTCCTCCCGTCGCTCGTTCGCCAGCTCCCGGTCCATGTTCGTCTGCTGGCCATTCCAGCTACGGACTGGAGCTCCGTAGCCACGATGTGAAAACTGATACAGCTGACTGACGACGTCGTTGCCGTTCCGATTGTTGCTATGGTTACCATTACCATTGTGGTTGTAACCATTGAAGCCATTGTACTGACGGTTGTTCGGCTGGTAACCAGACGCCAGTGGACCACCGCTTCCACCGTTTCCGTTCACGTGACTGTAGTTGGCAGGAGAGGAGTTACCGGAAGTGGCGGGCGAAGTGTTGTTGCTGCTGTTTGCACTGTTACTGCTACTGCTACTGCTGGGCTGCGGACGATTGTCACTCACTTTCCAGAGACCGGCTTTCGTTTTGATTACGGGAGGTGACTTTGGCGAATATTCCTGTTCGGAAGGTTCCGATGGACGTTGCTGCTTGCCGTTGCATACGCCCGGACCAAGCAGGACGTGCGACCGTATCCTGAAATGTGTAGATGTGAGTATTACTTTTCCAAATTTTTTTCAGAACCATAAATCGAAGCCGTGGGAAGATTATTGCTATGAATAGGACCTACGCTTGATAGTCGGCGTCGAAATCCTAAAAAGTTTCACATTGATCTTTTAGAAGAATTCTTCGGGAATTATCCAGGCAGTCCATTAAAACAGTTTGAACTTGTCTTGAACTGAAAATCTTCGAACTTGCCCAAAACGACTTCTTAATGTGTCTTTTGATGCTTTGGTCTTGCCTCACCTTGCTAGATCACTTAACACGCTCGGTAAAACTTCGACTCAATGAAGGAAAACAGTTTCATTCATGTTGACTAATTTTCCCGATGTTTTTTTTTCCAAGGAAAATCCCGATATAGTAAACCACTTAGGCTGCCGCTATTCAGTCACATGTAGATAGAATAAGTTACAACAACAAAATAAAATGTTATTTGGTATTGAAGTTGTAGGGGGGCACCGACACTCTCCTTCTACCCCCTCTGACTGCTCAATGGATTAAATGTCAATAAGATGAATTTCGAGTAAAAGTTGCTAAATAGATACTCGTTGAATTCACCGTTTGCGCCTCTCCCTCACTACGTCGCTGAGTAAGTCTTCTGAACTTTGTCGTAAAAGTCCATGAGACCTATCTCGTAATTTCTATGCACTTAGGTGCAGAAGGTCCAGTTAAACATGCCTTGCGAGACCCCTGACTTGGACCTGGAGGACTTCCAACCTAAGCCTGAATGTTCTCTGAATTCGTACTGGAAGTCCGAAGCTTATCAAACCACATCTACAAAATCTCAAAACATTTTCTTACAAATTTCCCGGTCTGCCATGGCCGCAGAATAGCAAATAAAGCAACCCTCCCAGTCAGCAATAAACAAACTTACCGTTCCACGTCCTCATCACTATCATCATCATCGTCGTCCTCGTCATCCGCTGTGGACCGTCCGTTTCGCCTCTTGCCACCGCCGGCGGCACTTCTGTTCTTCTTCTCTTCCCCACTACCATCATTATCAACACCGTCATCTTCCTCGTCGTCATCGGCATCGTAAGGAACTAGACTAACCGCTTTACTGCCGTTTTGGTGGCCGTTCGGGATGTTGCTGCTCTTCGAGTGTCCAGGGAAACCAGCACCCTTGACGGTCGAGGATAGAGCGGAAGGCTCACCGGCTTCACCGGAGTAGTTCTTCGCAGCTGCAGGGCTATTGCAAAGTTTAGGCATTGATGGCATTGTAGTAATAGAAGAAGAAGCAGAAGCTGTGGATGATGATGATGAAGGCTTAAAACTACCGTTGTGACTGCTGCTGCTTGGGTTTGCCATGCCGTTGGAGGTGATGGTCGTGCCGAATTTGCTCTTCACACTTGACGCTTGAAGGTTCCGTACGAGCTTGCCGCCACTGGTGGAAGGACTGTTCAAATCGCATTGCTTGACCGGCGAGGGATTGGATAGGGACGATGTGCTCGATGAGATTGGGGACACTCTGGAGGAGGTGGATGTCACGACCTCTCCTTCGTCCTCCTTATCGTTGTATAGGTGAATCAACCCGTTAACCAACTTTTTGGTTTTCTCCGCCGTCTGCTGCGGCAACACTGGCCCAATAAAGTGTGGCCTGTTTTCCAGCTTGCTCGGGAAAAGAGGGTTGTGGCCAGAGTTGCTGCCAGACCCATGAGCTCGAAGGGGCGACGCGTTCGAAGAGGCTCCACTGGAGCTGTTTCTACCTTCGCCACTACTCCCGACCTTCCCGGTGGACGAACTCCCAGTTGCGTTGGCAAACGAAGCCAACGTGGCAGTGCTGCTGGCGCTTGGTTTAATCCCGTTTTGAACACTTTCCATTTCGTAGAATAGTATGTACGCATTGGTGCTGGTGACATGCTGCATCGACATAGGCCTAACCGAACTGTCATCAAATACGTAATAGGTTCCACTTTCGGTACCTCCGATTGCCGTGTAATGTCCGCAGTGCTGCGTATTGCCCAGGTGTGTCACCATCGAAACTAACTTGTACGTTAGTTTGCCGCTCGAGGCAGCCGATTTGGACGAGTAAGGCGTCAAGTCCAATCGATTTTTTAGCTCGAGAACCTTGTTTATCTTGCCACCCATCATCGAAAACCTCTTCAGCTGAATGCAGAGTGCGAAGGGTGCCCGTTCCAGAGAAAACTGCTTCGTAGCAGCTACCTTACGCTTACAAGCTTCGCACTTGTACTGCATTTCCTCCAGGTGCTCTCTGGCAAAGTACATTTTGAGCGCTTCGTCGATCGAACTGACTTTCCTGATATCCAGCAGCACATCTTCGAAGTGTTGGAAGGTGGTAGAAACATGCCCACAAGAACCACACTTGACCTCTGACCGTAGGTAGCCGCCCAAAATTTGATTCAGTGGGGTCGTCTCCTTGCTGTGCTGGTCAAGCTCTTTGCTGTTTTTGATCCGAGCTAGGTAACACTTTTCCATTGCTTCCACCAGATAGCGCAGGAACTCGTGGGCATCTTCCTGACGACCGGGAACCAAATGCTTACATACCAACCGCAGCTTCGAGTAGACCAAAAAAGGTTTTATCGCGCTTTGATTGCTCTGCGATGCCAGCAACGTTTTGGCCATGGCACAAATGATGCATCCCTGACCTGCAACGATCAAACACACAAATGTTCCAACAATGTCAAATCTACGCATCATTCCCATTCGAATCACTCACCATTGATGTTATCGCTGCACTGCTCACGGTGGGCACTGTCCGAGATGAGCCAGTTGGCAATGGCCGGAACGTGAAACAGGGCCTGCAGCGTGGAGTTCAGGTAGCACGTGTTGCCGACGTTGACCATTCCGGCGCCGGTGTTCCACTTGCGACCGGTGGCCTTCCAACCGATCTGGACGTTTTCGCGCGGGTAGAGGACCCGCTTCGGTGTCGGCAGTTGATCCTTGCCCGTGCCCGATGACGACGACGACGAGCCGGTGCCATCTGAAATGAATGAAATTAGAAATCAAAGCAAACATGTTAAAGATTACTGATTGGATTGGTCCTACTTAATTCATCGAAAAATGTGAGACGAGCGAATGATTTGGTGATAGTGTCCATAATGTTTGGCTTTATTACGCTTTATACCAGCCGAAAGAGCCGCGCAAATCGATTGAACTGTCACATGGTACAAAATAAACAAAACACTGATCATGGCTAGGCTTGATGGCCAGCAGGTTATTTAGCTTAACCTCGAAAATAGGTCTCTCAAATCCGCCATCTTGAAAAAAGGCTTGATGGTGCAGATTTCCAAACTTTGCATGGTAAGGTTCAGGAAGGCATGGGAGAGAAGTTTTAAAATGCTTATAGTTTTCAAATGAAGTACTTTAAATTAATTTCAGTGTTGCTGTGGGGGAAGAAAAGTCGAAATCTACCTATTCATCAAATATTTTGAAAAAGCTTGGAATATTCAATATAATAAGACTGAGTTTTTCTCCCCCGTAGAAAAATTGAAAAATTTAATAAACATAATATTTGAGAAATAGAAGCCTATACCTATATGCAAAATTTTGAAATCTGCATCATCAAGCGTTTTTTTTTCTTCTCCATGATGGCGGGTTTAGAGACCTAATACAGTGTTATTGCAGAGATGCTTTTTTTTTTAATTTTTCCTCACGCTTTTGATTTTAAACAATAGAAGATAGAGACGAAGATTATATTCACCTCCCTTGTTTGTTGCCCGGGAGAATTAGGGAATTTATTCTTCCTTACAGTTTTATATTGGGATTATATCCTCAAAATTCCATGCGGCCATTTCGCTCCCAGTTTCCTCCAATGCTCTTTGGACCTCCCTTAGCACTGTATTCTGACAGTTCGCTTGGAATTCTTCTTAGAATTATCAATAAATTCTCCTCAAAATGCTCTTGAAATTATCCTTAAAATTCCATTAAAACTCTTTTCAGAATTTTTTGAAAATGTAAATCCGAAACTCGAGTCCCTTGGTATTTTTCCCGGAATTCCCTTGAACCTCTCTTTAGAATTCATTTGAAAGTATCTTTCGAATTTCCTCAGAATTTAATACGCTTGGGAATTTTCTTTTTGAACTCTCTTGAAATACTTCTCAGAACTTATTTAGAATACTCATTAGAAATAGACTGGGAATCCTCTTCCCAATCGTCGTGGAATTTTCTTTAGAACTACGTAAACAACCCTTCTTTAAATTTTCACAATTACCTTGGAACTGTTCCCACAATTGACTTGGAGTTGTAGAGGTTGTAGTCAAAACTCTCCTAGTTCTTCCAAAAATTCACTTGAAGTTGTTTTCTAAAATGCCTTAATGTTATACCTAGAATTCATTCTTAAGTCTCCTCTAGGAATTTATCAATTTAATTTTAATAGTTCTACAAAGTGACTGTATCCTGAAAATCTGGTCCAGTCTAACGTGAATTATATTAGGATTTTCAGAAAACTTCGACCACAAGTGTAACTAATTTCCATAACGTATCCATTAGGATGGTTCAAAATATCGATTTTGCTACACCGGCTTCAAATCAGGTTGTGATAATTCTCCCAACATTTGACCTTATTTGGATACGATCTCATATTGCACTGGCCCTTTGAAGTTTATATGGGAATTACTATGGGAAAAGTGAACTTTTTGTTATCATTGTTTTATCCCTTCGCTGTAATGATTTACGTAAAAGTTTGGTATCTGTATTCCCAGCTGCAATTTTGCTGAAGACCGCATTTTAACTGAACATCAGTGTCGTGAGCTTTCCGCACCATTTCACTCAGCCACGAAAAGTCTTCCGGTAAAACACTTCTGGACGTATCCTTCCTTCAATGTTTATTGAATCTCAGAGATTCAAGAGACATTGACGGAAGAATACGTCCAGAAGTGTTTTACCGGAAGACGTTTCGTGGCTGAGTGAAATGTTGCGGAAAGGTCACCACAGTCAGGACAATCAGTTATTAATTAATTAGAAAGATGATATTCTTATGACATGCTCCATAAACTGCTCAGCAGGCAACATTGCAGTGCTTGCCGCGAAGAATTTTGAGAGAACGATCAGGACCTGACTTAGAATCGATATGTAAAAGTAAAAGAGTAAAAATTCAACTTTAAAAGACAGTGCAAAGAACCATTTAACTGAACAAGCTTCTATTTAGTTGAACTAAACTGCCGGTAATCGCAAGTCAGTCCCATCTGCATTTGTATCAATTTTGAGTTAGCATCATTATTCAGTATATGTTTCTATGTTTTTTGAGATTTTCTATTGACAAAAGGTGGTTTGTTCAAGAAAAATGAAAAACAATACCAAATTGTCCCACAGCGAAAAGTAACCGCTAGTCAGTCCCATTAGAAAAACGTGTGTTGGGAATGTTAGACAACACATCGCATCATGAGATTTGTCTCAAGACAGATTTTGTCAACTTCCTCTAGGGTATCTGGAACATGTCCGGATGTGGCCAATATAGTTCATACGATCAGGGTGTCTACTCAATCCAAGGAATCAAATTCCCTGAGTTTTCCAGGTTTTTCCAGGTCGGATGAAAAAAATTCCAGGTGCATACAAATTAAACACATTATTATTTTATCGAACCCCCCTGTTTGCTGGTGTTCACACTGCTTGCACATGTCGAAAGAACTGTCAATTTAGATTTCAAAACAAAACTGTATCAGGAATCAAAAGTAAATACTTCCATCATGAATTACCGGAAAATTGCTCTAGTTTCGGCAGACGTATTTGCTTTTATTATTTTAAATAAAATGAGAAAGAGTGAACTTTGTGGAGTAGGAAATGGTTGATCAGGAGGAACACCGGCAGGGATTTGGCTCATCTTGTCCGTCAAGAGCTGCGATATGAAGATAAAAATGGATTTCAAAACTTCGCCAGGATGTCGATACCAACTTTAGACAAGCTAGTGGGAAAAGTTCATGATTCCTTGAGTTCTGAAAATTTCTGTTAACAACTCAATTCTGCAAGGTCTTCAAACCTTCTGACGTCCCTGAAGTTTTGTTTCTGTTCTCCGGTAAAGTTTCTTTAAAGATCAACAATCTTTCCTGACAATTTGCAAATGTCTCGGTAGTTCTATAGATTTCTTTGAAGTTCTGTGTGTTCTTCAGAAGTTCTGCAAATTTTCCTAAAAATCTACAAAGTTCCTGAATCCCTGAAGATTAAAGATCCTTGAAGATCAACAATTAGCTCTGATGTTCACAAAATTTCAAATAATCTACAAACTTCTCGAAAGTTCTGTAATTTTCTCTGCAGATTTTCATGATTCAATGAATATCTGCAAATATCTCTGAACATCTATACAATTTTCTAAAGAATTAAAAGATTATCTAGAAATTTTTGAGCTTTACGGAAGTTTTAGGAAGTATTCTGAAGTTTTTCTAATTCTTCTGAAGCTGTGCAAATATCTCTAAAGATCAACGAACTTACCTGAAGTTCTGTAAATGTCTTTCAAAATCTAAGAACCGCAGTAAAATTCTGAAAATTTATTTAAACATCTGCTAATTTTTGAGTAGATTTACGACCTACCCTCTGAACTTTTCTGAAGTTCCTAAAATTTATTTCAAATTCTGTAAAGTTTTCTGAAGTACTGTGTTTCTGCTCTAAAGTTCTACGAACTGCCCTGAAGTTCAAAAAATTTCACAGTAGATCTCCGAACTTTTCTAAAGTTCTTTAAATTTCTTTGTGGATTCTTGATCTAAAGATCGGCGAACTTTCCCGAAGATCTGTGAGTTTTGTTGAAGTTTTGCAATTTTTTTTAAAAAACGTATAAACTTTCTGACGTTCTACAGACTTCTCTGAAGTTCTTTAGATCTATCTATTTCCGACTTCCATGGAGTTCTGCAAAATATTGTACTTTTGTACATCGCTGCTATTTGTTTTTGGAATTGAGGTGCTTTTCTGACATTTACCGAATTTTTCTGAAGATCTCACATTTGTGTGAAACTGTGAAACCTTCTGTAAAATTACTGCGAATATCTTTAAAGTTCTGTAAAGTTGTCTTAAGCTCCGTAGCTCTTTTCCCAGGATCTACAAAAAAAAATTGAGGCTCAATAAATTTCTCAGTAGATCTGCAAACTTCTCTGATGTTTTGTAAATTCCTCTAGGGTTACCCTGAAGATTTGAAAATTTCCTTGAAGATTACCGTTGTCAAAATTTATCTGAAAATATTTGAGCTTCTTTGAAGTTTTAAATGTCTCTCTCAAGATCTACAAATTTTCCTGAAATCGTGTAAATATTTTTTTTAATCCCTGAAGTTCTGCAATTTTTACTGAACATCCATTAACATTTCTGAGATTCTTGTGATTTTTTCTGAAGTCCTGTAATTTTTTTTTCAAAGTTATGTAGCTTTGTTCTGAAGATGTACGAACTTTTCTGATGTTGAATAATGTTTCGAGGATCTTCAAACTTCTGTGAAATACTTTATATTTCACTGTAGATTCTTGGACTTGTCTGAAGTTATGCAAATTTCCCTGAAGATTTGCAAAATTTCGCTTATAGTTTTACAAATTGATTTGAAATTATTTTTGCATGCTTGAAGTTTTGAAAATTTCTTTGAACATTTATCTGAAGATCTCTCTTTTGTGATTTTGTTTTTATGAATTTCTGTTAATAACTTTTATTTTTTTGTAGTTCTGTTCTCAAGATCTACGAACTACCCTGAAACTCAACAAATTTCTCAGTAGATCTCCGACCCTCTCTGAAGCTCAAAAAAATTCTATGTTGGGTCTCAGACCTGCTGCTGTCTGGCATGCTTATTCTTATACAATACATGCTTCGTATGCTTCCTTTTGACGGTTGCCAGTCTCTCTTTTTCGGCTGTTTCCTTTTTACGACGATTTTGATCCTCCACATACAAATCAGCGAAGAGCGAGCGTGACAAGACTCTCTGAATGAACTTGTCTCGTTCGCACACATTGTCTTAGCTGATGCTTGTCAAGTTCAGTGTCCTTAAGAAACGTTTCGAGAAACTGTACGAAAAACTTCTTTTGAATTACGAATGAAATGATAATTGGAAAATTCCCTGAGTGGAACCAAAATTCCCTGAATATTCCAGATTTTTCCAGAAAAAAAAAAATCCCTGTAAATTCCCGATTTTCCAGGTTTTTCCAGTTTGACCGCGAATGGATATGGCTTTGAATTCTCATATGATTTGAGGTATCGCTTGATGGATTTTGATCTAAAAAGGATTTACCACTTCCCCGGGGATACCCGGAACGTTTCCGGGTGTGGCCAACATGGTGCTGGTCACTCATCATGACTCTTATTGATCTTATTTTTGAATTCTCATGTGAATTGATTTATCGCATGCTGGGTTTGGCACGTTCCTGAAAAGCTCTGGTCTGATGAAGACCCATACTCACCGGAATATGTTCCGGCCATTGCTCTGGAACCAGCGGAACAAATCCAGAAACATTCAATAACATTCTATGGGACCATGATATCTTTCTACTATTCAATACTGTGCTAAACCTAATGCAGCATCGTCATGGAATTGTGACTGACTTGCGGTTATTTTTCTCATTGACGTTAAATGTAATCGCAAGTCAGTCTCACTCAGATTTTGGCCATGTAATAAAAATTTCACGATATTTTCCACACCGTTTTCTCATTTCTGGTTTTTTTTCAGATGGGACTGACTTGCGATTATGGGCAGTAAAGACCGTTCCGATAAGTATAAATACACTAACGATGATCCGTCATTTCAAACTGCGAGACATATTTCACAAAATTCTCGCGTCACTTTTCAAATAGACCAATGTAACATTATCCACCATTTTGAGAAAATCGAAGTTGAAGTTCGACAGATTATTATTTAAACTATTTAAAAACAATACATTTTGCAATACTATTTTAATGTAGTCAGTGTATAATAACGTTGAAAATTCAGAAGAAACGGTAAAATCACAATTTTACTTTGAATTTCATGCTACAAAATAGAAAAAAAAACCACATAGGACGTTTTGACAAGTCGAGTTGTACATCGGACATGTTACATTGGACGATTTTTCTCACTGACATAATCAATCAGTGTTACATTGGACGTTTTGTCTACATGATACTAGATTCCCTTTCACAGATTTCAGAGTATAGTACCTAACTTTAGATTGGCCCCGCCTTTGGAAAATGAGCACCAATCATATTAGGCAGTCCGAATGACCGAAGTAACAATCATGTACCCATCATTTCAAACTGTACATTGGACCATTTTTTATCAATGATTATTTTAAATAAATGAAAGTAAATTAGGATGGATATTTTTGTATCACATACAATGATAGAAGAGCAATAGTTTGTATCGCTTAACTCGATTTGTTTACATTTGTTACATTGGTCTATTTGAAAAGTGACGCGAGAATTCTGGTTGCATCCTGATGTTTACATTTGCGAGTCTTACTCATGAACAAAGAAAACGGATTGTGCTCACATGAGGAGGGTGTGAGCGTTGGAGCAGTACAAACCGCATTACGGAAGTATGAAGAATTATGCACTTTCGAAGATTCTCCGAGGCGTGGAAGAAAACCTGGCCCCGTTGACCCTGCAATCAACCGGAAGATAAGAGATGGTTTTAAGCAGCATCCTTCTGCATCGGTGCGATATGTGGCGAAGAAGATCAGTACTTCGGCAACAAATGTCATGTGGGCCAAGAAAAGATTGAGATTGGAAACCCATCGGAAGCAGAAGCAACCAAAACGAAGCAAAAAGCAGACTGCATTTATGAAGACGAGAGCTCGCAGCTGTACGACTCAATGCTGGGGGGAAAAATTGGGTTGTATAATCATGTACACCGAAAAATTCGGTAAGAAGGTCATGGTTTGACAGGCGATATTCCAGTGTGGAAAAATGTCTCGACCATTTATAACGACAGACACAATGAATGGAAAGTTTACGTGAAGGAATGTCTGCAAAACAGATTACTACCCTTCATCAGGCAGCATGACAAACCTGTAATCTTTTGGCCTGATCTTGCTTCCTGCAAATATTCAAAAGATTCGCTTGAATGGTACAAGAATCATAAAGTCACATATATGTGCCAAAAGAGATGAATCCACCAAATTGCCCGGAGGCTCGACCTATCGAAACTTGCTGGGCTGAGACAAAGGCAAAGCTGAGGAAACATGTTAAATCAGCGGATGCAGTTGAAAAATTCAAAAAAGATTGGTCTAAAGTGGTAAAAATGGCGAAGGTAATGTGCAAAAGCTAATGAGCAGTGTCAATGGAAAAGTTAGAAAACTCGACTACTCTCAATAAAATCCTGCAAATTGAATTTATGTGTGAAAGAAAACATGATAATAAACAACATTTGAAAATAAAATGGCCTAAAACTTCACCCTAGATTGATTTATTTAACTAACAAAGTGTAATTAACTTTCAATGTTTGTTGGTAGGCGCAGAAAATGGATGGCTTGAATCTTCCGAATTTACAGATCAATGCTTAGACAGATGTATATGGCCCATAAAAACTTTTTTTTGAACGATTCTATACGTGGGGGGGGGGAGGGGGTCTGATACCTCTCCGAAACTGTCTACGAATGAAACCCCTCCCTCTAAACTGTATATGTGGTTATAATTGTCTACGATCAATATCGATAATATCTATATTCTCCGTAAAGCCAAACAGCATGTGCGACTGTTCGTTTCCGCTGCACACCAGCTCTCCGAATAGCTCCTTCGAGCCAAATGTGGAATAGTAGGTTCACCATCTATAAAAGCATCTTCAATCAGAAGTGATGAACCAGCCTACGGCTGAGTTCAAACAAAAATATTCAATGAGATTTCATTAATTGTCGATTACTTTTTTGAAGGGAGGTATGTGCTTTAGTAAACAATGCATTTGATCGTCGATTTGGCTTAACTGGCAGCTCACCCACGCATACTAACACCACTATCAGGTAGGGGAAAATTCCCTCTATTGGATTGTAGTGTTACCATGCGTTGACGAGCTACCAGTTACGCCAAATAGACGATCAATTGCATTGTTTACAAAAGCTGATACGTCCCTTCGAAAAAGTAATCGAGAATTATTAACTCGCAGGCAATCATTTTTTAGCCGAGATATTATTTGAAAATTACTTATTTATTTTGTTCATATCTACTGTGCATTGTGCATAATTGGTACGGTTTTAATTTAAAAGACTGAACCATTCTCTATTTAAGTTGAATTTATCTCATTTGAATCAACAAATCTTCTACGCTTATCGCGTACTCTCAACTTCTAAATGCACTTCCACAGTTATTAATTAGAGCTTTCGATGCCAATACCAATGCATGAATTTTTATATTGTGTGGCAAGCAATGATACTCTATGCCCGCCCGCATAAACAATAACCATAAGAAGCGCCTAGCCACCAATTCGGGATATCATCCCAACTTTATGTGTTGTCGTACCATCTATGATATCGTTAGTTTATTAGGGCATGGAAGTCGACAAAATTTTCAACCTGTTCTTTTTAATTTTAAAGGTTGTAGCCAAAACATAATTTAAAAAAGTAAATCAGAAACAGTTCTAAACATGCGAAATCAATAATATTAATATTAAATCATAGAAATTAATTTAAACCACAACTGACTGCACAACTCGCGCTGCTATCCTTTGGATTGTTATCATACTAACTTTCAAGACACTTGAGAACACTTCCTATCTACAATTCTGAAATTAAATATCCCTAAGTAAACCTACCCTCCATATCTGCAACATCCACATCCACTGCTTCAACCATCGGTTCCCGTGTCGTCTCCGAAAAGCTTCTATGCGTACGTCCCATCAACCCAGCTACACCGTTTGTAACTCTATTGAAAACCCTACCCCCACCCAGACATCGGAACCAAAAAACCAGCAGGAACCGTACAATCAGCTGATAGAACACAAGAAGTCTTCGTTTAACGACCCGCACCACCGTCATTACAGTCGGCGGAACGGTCACAACAAAGGGATTCCGCCTCTGGATACGTTTGGCTGCCTTCGTGGAACGAGGCCGTGACCGTTGCTGGGGGCGGGTACCAGTCCTGGTGGTGGAAGAACTCATGGCACACTCGTCGTAATCGGGAAATCGATACCATCCGGAAGGTCATAGCTTGTTGCAGTCTGTCTGAGCTATGTAATATTTTTGCTGAAGTTAGCAGCACACACGCGAATCTACCGTGTCGTGTCTAACTGCTATTACCGCGAGGAAAAATGATTGCACTTTCCGTTTCGTCTCGGCGGCAGCACATGACTCGGTTGTAAGTTTTTCCACCTTTTATTGAGCAGTTGAACGGGCACGGTTACTGCTATTTCACTTTCTTCCTTGAAATGAACTTATAGAGGAGCACACAAACCGCTTCGGGGTCAAGATCTTTCGAAACCAAAGTCTCGCGTCCAGGGTTTATGAATTATTCACCAATTTGCACACTGAATGGACAAAACGCTAGTCTCCGACTTCTTATCATTGACAGCTTGTGCTTATCTATTTGCAGCGCGATTTCAATAGTTTCAAATCAGAACTCAAAAACACGACCAAAGGAACGTAAACACACGCGAATGTAAAGTGGTGAATATAGGAACTGTCAAAACGAATGACTTTCTAACCGCATATCGCGGAGAATAGCAGCAGGCGGTGCTCGGATTTATTTTTGTTCTGTCTCGTTTCCCCCTTCACACCTGCCCCACCCGCGAAGGGTAAAAAAATATGGATATTCGAAATTGGGTCAGCGTTGTGCTTCTATTTTCACCACACCACACGCACTAATCGAAAAATCAATCGAACGCACGTCATCCGTTGTCACTTGCGCACAAAGAACAGTACCAAAAAATATTTAAATTGCCGAAAATGCGCCTAAAAATGCACAAGCAAACACGACACAGCGAAAAGAATCGAACGACCATTAAACACGGCACGCGGACGACGAAGAGTAGTGTGCATGAAAAGGAAGGGAAAATTAGCGGAAGAAATAAAAGACTGGCACCCGTGCAAGCAAAACCCGGCAGTCGAAAAGAATGAGCGAGACATACCCCTTTCTTTCCCGCTCTCACTTGGTACATGTTTTTCTTCCCCGGGTGGTGAATAATAATTACTCAACTAGGTACTTCTTGTATCTCCTTCTCCGATGGGATGGCATCGCGGCGTGGCTCTCTTGAGTGACTTTCATCGAGTCAATTCGCGAGACGACGTGAGCGCCATTGCTAGACGATGATGATTACACGATTTTCTTGTTACAAGAAGCGTGAGGGAAGTTAGTGCAGTCATCATCATCATGATTATCATCAGTGTCGGCTTTTCCTTGGTAACCACACTGTCACGAGTTGAAACGGACTGCCCAATACACATGCACATGTTACAACACAACAAAAAATGTGTTACTCATTCACTGTGACGAAAGAGCGGTGCTTACTGCATTCGGTTCAAGATTCTCCAAGGGGGGCCTTCACCACTACAGCCATGTACTAGGATAGTGGGAGATAGATTGAAATGTGGGCATAATTATTGATACTGAACAAGATTTTGAGGTTGTCGATTAAGCTTTCATTTTGTTCAAGAGGGTTCCTAAAATAATGCATAAGAATTTTTAGGGAGTTTCCGGGAGGGTTTGGCATGAAATGGACCGTATTTGCAAAGAAACTATGAGTAGAGTTCCAAGAGAATCTGAAGAAATTTCAAAACGAATAATGAGGAGAGTGCCCAGGGAATTCCAAGAGATCATCTGAATGACATTTTGAGACGAAATCCAAGGATACCTCGCGTAACATTTGAAAAGCACCTATGACCAAGATGTATACAAATCGTATTTTGATACCATTCTATCTAAATAGCTACCAATCGTGCCGGAATTTTCCGCAATATCGATAAAAAATTCGAATTAAGGTATACCGGGGCAAGTTGAAACGCGTGGGGATTTTGAAACGATAGGTGTATCTTACTGGAAGTGAATAATAACTGAGGATATTTCTAATGCCGCTTACCATAGTGGGAGCGAAGAGGCGCGCTAGCGTTCTATACAAAAGAATTCCTATTATTGATATTATTCCTTACGTTCGATTTCACGTTTGCTCTCACTATGGCAGCGGCCTAATCTAGTAGTGTGGTACTACACAATGCCTCTCAAAAATAATTACAGTGAGTATTGGCGAATCAATGCAAAGCCAAAACTGGTCATGCGACACCTAAAGGGTGATACGGTCAAAATTTGGTCAATATCAACTTGACGTATTTCTTTCAATTTTGCATTTAAAAAACCTGAACACCCCTCATTTTGAAGGTGTGTGTGTGTAGAATGTTGCGAAACCTACGTCAAAGCCGACTACAAGCAGCTTCCGGGACAGGAGTTTTATACGGCAAAAGGAAGGGGAAAGGTAGCAGATGTTTTCAAGCACATGAAACTGTCAAAGTTCGCAAAGAAATATCTGGTTTGGCAAGCCATCTGTACCTGTGGCTTGAAAAGCAGCATTTTCATAGCTTCCGGAACTGTCAACCAAGAAATTTACGTGAAAGAGTGTTTGAATAAACGTCTGCTGCCTTTCCTGAAGAAACACGGTTGTTCCGTACTGTTTTGGCCGGATTTGGCATCTTGCCATTACGGTAAAAAGGCCATGGAGTGGTACGCCGCCAACAACGTGCAGGTGGTTCCCAAGGACAAGAACCCTCCCAACACGCCAGAGCTCCGCCCAATTGAGAAATACTGGGCTATTGTCAAGCGGAACCTAAAGAAGACCAAAAAAACTGCTAAGGGCGAGCAGCAGTTCAAGGCAAACTGGCTTTCTGCGGCGAAGAAGGTGGACAAGGTGGCTGTACAAAATCTGATGGCAGGGGTCAAGCGTAAGGCCCGGCAATTCGGATTTGGAAAAGCGGAAGCCTAACTGAATATTTTTCCTGAATTTTATACTAATTGAACTTGAAAAAGAAATTTAATTTGATTTTTTAAATAAACGATTTCACCGATTTACACGCATTTTCCCTTGACCAAATTTTGACCGTATCACCCTTTAGTTTTAAGATCCGCAATTACAAAATGACGATGTTCTAAAAAAAAATGGCATGCAATTTGACAGATATCAGAACGTCATTACCATTTTCACCCACTCTCCATCTGATAGTCAATCTTCATTTTGATTCTTCAATTCACTTCGAGCACTAAGCCAGTTAACAGAGTTCTGGTCTCTTCTCACGACACTCGTTTCTTTACCGCGTTTCCTTCGCTCTCGTTGCTAAAAACGTGTTTGGATAGTGTTCAGGTGAATCGCGCACGGTTTTCGGAAGCAGCTATCGTAAGCTGAGTCTTACGTATAGACTGTCCATCTTTACTCCAGTGATCGATCATCATCAAATCATCACCATGGACAACATCGACATGAATCCGATCGACTTTGTTCATTTGTCAACTTGTCACTCCCAACATAGTTTACCCATTTTTGTGTAGCTCATGGATCCAAGCTATTCAGCGATATGCCCCTAGAAACACTACATTTGTATGGATTCCGGGTCACTGCATCATTCGTGGTAAAACGGAGGCGGATCATCTAGCGGCTTCTGGAAGACAAGCCCAACTGTTCACCAAGGAGGTTCCATCGGGGGACCTGAAAAAATGGGTTGCCAGCAAAATCTGGGACTTATGGTCAAATACATGGTCCCAATCAACTAGCCTTTTCCTTAGAAAAGTAAAGGCTGGCACACGAAAATGGGAAGACCCCCCTAGCCACCGAACTTAGGTTGTCCTGGCAAGACTCAGAACAGGCCATACCAGAGTATCGCCCGTTCCGGAAATTTTGCGAGCTCTGCCGCACCAGCTGTTCAGTGGAACACATCATCTGCCACTGTACTCAATACGAAGGTTCACGAGAGCTGGACGGCATACCGGGCAGCATTAAGGACGCACTGAGTAATGACCCGACTAGAATCACAGCATTAATGGGCTTCCTCCGCGAGGCCGGCCTCTTCGACCAAATATGAAACCTGCCAAAATCCCGACCACCGCAATGCAAATGGACTTTCTCTTATCACCCAACATCTCAAACCAAAGCAAGATCCTCAGCAACTCAACAATCAAAACTCCGAAGAAAGACAGCACATTGACAGCCTCAGTATTTAACTAGAGGAGGCCTCTTATAGACCTCCTAACATGATAAAAATAAATAAATATCTTTCTAACTAGATGAGGTCCCTTCTGGACCCCACACTATCTTTTCAGAGACAAACCAGCCAACGGCTGAAAGTCTCTATAGTAAAAAAAAAAACAATCAATCATTTTTGTGTAGGTTCAGTTTTGACCGATCTGGGTGGATTCTACACAAATTTGGGTAGTTTTGAAATAGCGTGTACATTTTGCAAGTCCGTTGCCTCCGTATTTAAGAATCAAAGTAACGATTGACTCACAGATGGCGAGTATAGTCGCTATATTCATAGTCTGGCGGATAGAATTTCGATCTATCAAAAAGCGGAACCATTTCAATATATTGTAGACCAACAATTGAAAAGGTACTATCAACTTTTATAAACAAAACGTTGATTATTCTTTCCTCGCCAATCGAAGGTTATCAGCATCATCGGATAGCGGAAATTTTCCACAACCTAAAGATGGCGTTAGTTTGTGTGGGTTTCGGTTTCCGAAATTTTGTTCGCAATAGCTGATGTGCTCTTTTCTGATTGTTGGTCGTGATTTGCTAGATTGATTCCGCTATTTGACAGCTCTATTGGTTCCCGAGATTCTATCCGCCAGACTATGAATATAGCGACTATAATGGCGAGTGAGTGAAAATGGTAATGACGTTTCGATATCTGTCAAATTGCATGAATTTTTTTTAGTAGGGGTAAAAGGGGCTAATGAGCATCCCATGTCCCAGCTTGGTCTTCCGGCCGTTCGGAACAAATAGGTTGGCGGTAGGATCAATATCATAATGATATAGAACCTACTACCAGTTGATTTGTTTAATACAGCTGGAGATCCAGAGCCAAAGTGCGGAATTCTCACTATGCCCCACCTGCCCCTACATCATCATTTTTGTAAATGCGGATCTGAAAATTAGGCGTCGCATGACCAGTTATCGCTTTGCTTTGATTCGCCAACTGTAGATTAATTTTGCCTCGTGGCGCGTGGCTCTGTATCTCACCCCTGAGAGAGGATTAAGGTCTATAGTGAGACAACTTGTTGCAACTAGACATAAGTCTTTTTTCGCTCTCTTCGATTTGCTCGTATTCCGGGTAAAAAAAAAATGTCATGACTAGTAATTAAAAGTTATCAATTGGTGAATTTTTTTTTCCTTCTTAAATGGCTGCGCATCGCTTTTCTGCAACACTTATGGCATCTTCCAATGCCTACGTTACGCGAACCAGGGACTACCAATCGCTTTCGAAAGGACCATGGGTTGTCTTTTTTCGGCCTAAAAATAAACCTTTGAAAACTCTCTACATTTCGAAAGACATGGAAGGCGTGGTCTCCGATGCGAGCAAGGGGCTGGCAACCCTATATGAATCCTATACGTTTGACAGTAGGCAATATCACGGGTCTTATTTAAATACGGCCCGCTTGACGTATACATGGTGGAAAGAGACGGGAAATCGTGTTGTAAGCAGAAAGACAAGAGCAGTTGATGGCATCAAAAACATGGCCGCCAGTCAGGCCCCTGGACGCGAGTCTGACTGTCGAGGACTTGAAACGTGCTTCGATAAGTTTTAAAAACTCGACATTCGCTACCGCGCTAGTGAAGATACTGCATTCCGTATCTTTGCTAGACGGCAAAAAAAAAATTATCAACATTCAGACTAGTTTCGGGTGACTTTCGCTGATTCAGTTCTCCCAAACTTTGTCAAAGTTGATGGTGCTTTTTTGTACAGAGGGTATATAATTGTATCAACTGTAAAAGGCTGGGACACTCGGCCAGTCATT